TGAGGAGAAGACTCCTTGGAAAAGACCCTGATGTTGGGAAAGTGTGAAGGCAAGAGGAGAAGGGGACGACCGAGGACAAGATGGATGGGTTTAGACCAGATGTTGTGGGTTTTATCCAAGGTGCTGAATTCAATTCCATCTCCACCCCGCCAGAGCTGCTTCAGTCCCGTTAGTAGTTTTTTTTTTTTTTTTAAAGTCTGGATGGAAGTCCAGAGCAGATTTATGGCTTCCACTGACATCAGTGTCATCAAACTCCACTGAGTGGGATCTTTGCTGGGTGGTGGTTGCGGGTGGCCTTCAGTAGGTGCCAACTCCCAAGTGCTAGCCTGGCTTATCTTTCTAAACCGCTCTGCAGATTTTCTCCACCCGATGACTCCTTCACTTATTGCTCTTATGTCTTTGTCCAAAATCATACATCTGCCTCCAAAACCTCTTTTGTGGCAAAGACACCACCTTCCTTTTGTTCCCAGGCTGCCCCTTAGCGCCCAAAACAGGCTGTGTTTGTGTTTCTTCTCCAAAGCATGGCCTCGTTGGCCAAACTGCAGTTTTGTCCACCGATGGATCCTTTGACTCTTTTACTCAATGGCTGGTAGAACCATCAACCCACAAACACCAAAACTGAAATCTATACTGGTGAGGTCAGGAGGGTGATCCCTAGAAACTGTCTGTTTCCCTGGGTTTGGCCTGCGTTTAATCGCCTAGTTTATCCCACACGTTATTTTGAGTGGCTTGGCTTTTGTAAAAAGAACATCATGCGGTCAGGAAACTTTGAACGCTTTTAAACAATTATTTAGGCCAACAGGAGTGGTGGTTGTTCCCTACAGAGTTACGATCAACTCCTCCAAAAGGAGGTGGGGCGTGTTCGTATGACAGATATTCCAAATCCAGCTTGCCATTTTTCCCCCTCATACTGTAATGCAAAAGAGAGGGGGGGAGAAAGGCTACAGCGGCGTCTGCAGGAAAGAGAAAGGGCTCTTTACAACTCATTGGCTTTCTGCCACTGGTACCAAATTATGTACCGCTGAGGGCAACCCATTATAACTCCAAAAGCCCACGAACAAATTGAAAACCAAAAGGGCACCCTCCCAAAAATGTTCACCCCCATTAAAACTATTGACCCGAACGAGGGGTGGAGGGAAGCATTCTGAGCTGGGAAGACAGAAAAGAAAGAGAAGCTAGAAATTCAGGTTACGCGCGCACCTGCAAGGAGCCCATCAGCAGAGCTAAAAATAAACTACCAAGTTAAAAAATAACAATAAAAATAAAGCCCAGCTACGGAGAAAAGGCACTTTAATGGATGCCAGCCAACCCAACCGAGGTCAATGGCTAAGTTCTTAGCAAGTCATAAAAGAGCAGGAGGCTGGGAGCTAAAGAACTTGTTTACATGGTCGAAGGACACGGCACTCTCTCGCCCATCCATTATCCTGATGGAAAGATTCATTCGGGGCTTGGACACAGCGGGGAGGACGTAGGTCAAAATGGCAGGACACGAGGGGCATCAGAAGACATGGGAGGCTCCCTCTAAAGTTGCCCCTCGGGGGCCAGGCATGTGGCCAACCTGGAGGTCTGCCTCTGGCAACCTACGCCAGCTGACCACCCTTTCGATAGCTTCGGCTACACTGGCTGGAAACAGTGAGCACTGCCGATCAACACGATGTGTTCGGAAAGGCTGGACCGAAATCTATCCGTGCAAACCTCTGCAGAGGAGACACATTTCAACCCAGGTTGATCTTTGAGAGGTTTATGGCCGGCACAACAATACAGTAACCCTAATTGTGTGCCGTCAAACCAATCCTGACTTTTCAAGTTTTTGTACGTAGAGGATACTCAGAAGCATTTTTTTTCCTGTTCTCTTCTTCTGGGGGTGCCCTGGGACGGTGCAGCTGGCCGAAGGCCACATAGGCTGGCTGTTCTTGCAGGAAGCACCGTGGGGGGATCGAACTCCTAACCTCTGGCTCTGCTGTCAGAGATCTAAACCACTGCCTATGTGCAAATCTCTGCAGGGGAGAGGCATTTCAGCACAGGCTGATCTTTGAGCAGTTTCTGGCGTCCATCGCAGGGGTCAAAGGCCACCCCTGGATGCTGCCCGCCATCAAGTTAAGAGAAGCCAATGTATTTTAACGTCTCTCACTGGAGGTTTCTACAAGGCTTCAGAGTAGCTATAGCAACAATATCAGCCCTGGTTCAAGGGACAGGATGCGTCCATATAGCTCAAAAGAAGCATGCACAGCTTTGGTTTGTATCTGGCTGAGAGGCTCCCCTTGAATTCGGGGAAGCAAAGGAGGAAGTAGATATTATAAATAAAGAAAAACCAAGACAACGTTTTAAGCTAGTCTGATATTTTGGAGCAAAGGGGTTTTCCTTGCTTACACAGACAAATGTGCTTGCACGCATGCACACCTTAAAATAATAGACACATTGAATGGTTTAGAAACAGTAGTCACTCAATATGCAGAACTGCTGACCATGCATGATATAATTAATACTGATGAATCTGCTGTCCAGATGCATTGCATTTTACAAATAACAGAAGCCTGTTCCAAAGGGTTTACAATTTAGAAAAATGGTACTACAGAAGGAACAGAGGTAGCTTTAGCTGAGTGGTATCAGAGGCTACTCCAGGTTGCGCCCTGGCAAATAAGACTTATTGGGTCTTAAGCCAGAATCCTAGACCATCACTTTATCTACCACGCCATACTAGGAACCCGGGCATGTTGGTTTGTGGAAAACGTCTGAAGATGTTGGTTAATCCACAAAAGCTCACGTTGCAACATAACCATTAGTTTTTAAGGTGCCACAACGTTCTCGTTTTCCCTTTTCCATTTGATTGCTTTTATTTTGGCCTAGGAGGACATTTCTTTGCTACAAGTTTTCCCAAAGAAGTGAGTTTAGAGTGAGGGAGGAAGGACCATAAACAGAAGGCAGACAAAGCAGCAGCAAATCACGCCCTGTACACTTAGACTTCCCTACTGTGATCAGGGGTATCACGCAGCAGCTTAAATCCCACCAGTTATTTCTGATTTCTACAAACAAATGAACAATTAAAGTTTTGAGGCAAATATGTTCCTCTTACTGGGTGATGTCTAAGTTTACTCGTACGCAAACACACAGAACAGATACCCTAGGTCAATCAACTTTCTGATTTCTCCCCCACCCACCTCTTTTCCCCCCCTTTTCTCTTTAGCAACCAACAACAACAACAATAGTAAAGGAAAAGAGAAAGGAAACTTGTGGGCTCAAGAGTAATCTTAGATTAGAGAGGAAGCGGCTGCGAATATTACTGCAGAATATTATGGTACAGTGCATGGCGACCGACAGGTCTCTAGCCAGCGTGACATCGTAGGAAGGAAACAAGAGTGTGTGGGTGGCTAGAAGACAGAAACGAAGAAGGAGAAAATATATATATATATATATATATTGTGAATGAGTAACCTGACATCTGGAGTATTTATAGCATTAAAAACTATGTTGCACATCCTTTCCCGAAAGAACACTGTGGGGTAGGGAAAACATGCACTCTCTCTCACTCTCTCTGCATGTGTGAAGATCACACATGGGGCGGAGTGAACACTGATTCTGCCCTTGCAATTTTGTCTCCTCCATGGGAAGGGGGGGGTCATCATCCTCTTAGAACTGCAGAGCCCGAAGAGGGACACTGTGGTATCATCCAGTCCAGCCCCCCAGTCAAGGAGGCACAGCGGGGGAATCAAACTCCCAACCTCTGGCTCTGCAGCCAAAGACCCAAAACCACTGAGCTTGCCAGCAGTTTTAATCAACATCATCGTAGCACTGCAGAGCTGGAGGGGACCCTATAGGTCATCCAGTCCAGCCCCCCAACATTATATCAGGGGTCCGCATCTCATTTTCTGCTTGAAACCTCCTTGTGTCTTCTCTCACTGCTTCCTGTGTGATTTTCATACTATCTGCATGATTATTTTTCAAAGTCCTAAGAGGTCTACCCAAGGCACTTCGGGAAATCCTCCTTCTCTAAGCCCTCAGCCCCTTCTCGATCTGCAAATCAGAGATAATAATATTTATAGGAGTTTAATTCAGGGCCGAAAGAAGATCAGATAGTGATCTTTGGGCCTGACAGATGCCTTTTCCTTGATTCCAAAGCAGACCAGTGGAAGGGTACTGGGTAAAACTCCTGGGAACAGGTAGAAGGGTACTCAGTAGAGTTGTTAGTGGTTTACAGTAGATTTGCAGTGGTTTAAGCTGCTTCTGTTAACTTCAGCTACGCAGTGCCCCATTCATGCACAAGGCATGTAAGTTACGGTGTAAGACTTTGGAAACCTCTATTTTTAAAAAAAAAAACATGTTCAATGTTTTCACATATGTTGCTGGAAGGTTATGGTATAAGCCTTCCTAAACATGGTACATCTTAGGGTCTCATCCTGTCATCATTCAACCCTGCAGTTGCATGTCTTTTTAAAAAAATAAATAAATAAATGTAACTGCAGAGAAGTTATTAAGCTTGACAAAACAGCTTAGGGCAAGGCTCGGAAAATTCACCCACCACCTGCTCCTCCACTTCCTCCTCACCACGTAGAGAAGCCGTTTCCCCAGGTGCATGCTTGGAACCTGGACACAATGTTCTCCACTTGTCAGAAGATAAAGGTGGGGAGGCCAGGAGGAAGAGGAGAGTTCAAGATCTATGATAGGATGGCTGCCAGTGAGGCTATCGTTTGGAAGTCGTGGTGTCCGTCAGTTGTTACCATAACCACAGAGACGGATTTAGGAGGCCACTTCCCCTCCCGTCAGTGACTTTTTCCTCCAGTGAGATGGTGTAGCTTACCCCTGAGTAAGCCAGCTTGTTTGGGTCTGGGCAAGCCGGCCCAGACAGAAGTACACTTCCATCCAACCTTAACTTAAAAGGTCCAAAGGAAAGAATTGACTGGGTGAGAAATCTCCAGATAGATTATCTGGAGATGTTCAGGCAGAGAACGTGCTAAGGAGTTCAGGTAAGAACAGAAACAATGTCAAACCAGAGCTGGCCTTACCTCGCGAGATGGGTGCTGCAACGGGGGAGGCCAGGCGTCTCCCGTCCTTGTCAGGCCACCGGGGAGCTCTCCACCCCGAGGGCAGGCTGCAAAGCCATCCTTCCTTAAGCACCTGCTTCTGTGTTGGGGCTGGGAGGGAGAGGGCCAGCAGAGCAAGGCAGAGGCAGGCTGTCAGGCGGCAGGGGACGTGGGCAAAATGACTTGTGGGCAAAATGACTGAGAGAGAGAGGCGTTGAAAGGGGCGGGGTGAGAAAAAAAGGAAAAGGGGGAAAAAGAAAAAAAGAGAAAAGAACCTAACAGGAAACCGGGCTGTGGTTTTGTTTTTTTAACACCTCGATACAACATCAACTTGACACAAGGTAGAAGGCAAGAGGCAGATGCTGGGCCCGGAGGAGTGCAAGGGACATAGATGGTCATGCAGAATCATACAAAGGAGAGGCAGGATCTGTTCCCAATTATCCCAGAGAGCAGGAGATGGGATAATGGGCTCAAGCTAAAGGAAGCCAGGTTTAGGCTGACTACATCAGGAAAAACCTCTCGACTGTTAGAGCAGTACGACAATGGAACCGATGTCCTGGGGAGGCGGTGAGTGCTCCAAAGCTGGGGGCATTCTAGGGGAAAATCGGAGAATTCTCCGTCAGATCGGCTTTGCTTTGGATCCCTGCCTTGCACAGGGGGTTGGACCTGATAGCCTTAGTGGGCCCTCCTAACTCCATGATTTTAGGATTCTGTGGACCAACTTTTGGATGAGCTGGGAAGAAGTGCAAGAGGCTGTTTGGATCCAGACCGCATGCGGGGCGTGCACTGTTAAAATCATGGCAATACGGTGGGGTCTTGACTTAAGAACGGCTTGAGTTAAGAACATTTTGACTTAAGAACCGCTCTCGTAGGAAAATATTGACTTGACTTAAGTACTTAGATTTGAGTTAAGAACTGAAAAAAATCACGTGGGAGGCAGGGAAAGTGCAAAATTTGAACTTTCAGTCAACTGTTGGCCAGTGAAAAGGGTGCCTGTCGGCTTCCTCACTCCTCCCAGCGTTTAGAGAGTGGATTCGGAGACAGTCTTCAGACTGCCTGGTACTGGACTGCCTGGACTGTATTTTCCCTGCCTTCCCTGAACCTTTCTTGACCTAAGAAAAAAAGACACAAAAGATCCCCCTCCAGTGGTCGAAGGCAGAATAGCAGCTTCTCATTAGTTTCTATGGATGGAAAAGAGCAGATACGGATCAAATGGTTTTCAATGCATTCCTATGGGAAATGCAGATTTGACTTGAGAACTTTTTGACTTGAGAACCGCCTTCCAATATGGATTAAGTTCTCAAGTCAAGACCCCACTGTAGATTTCCCCACCCCCAAACAGTTGCAACCCCTCTTGTTTTGTGACCCTTGGCTATTAAGGTCACGAAGGCTTTCGTCCATTTCGTAGCCCATGCATCGTGTGGGTTAGAGCAGGGCAGCCACTATCCTACACCTGTTGCTCAATGAGAAGCCCATCTCTTCCTCGTGGTGATGAGGGTAGGAACAGGCCTGTAGCAGTTCTTTTGCCCGCTCTGGGCAAACCTTGAAGATAACAGACAGTCATTAGTTGGCCTCTTATGCTTTTCATTGCTACTGTTTTGCTATGTTTGTAGTAGGTTCTAGTTTCATCTGTGAGCTGCTCTGGATATAGTAGGGTGTATTTATCTATAACAATTCATCATGGGATTGTCATTCTGGAAGGGGCCACCGAGGTTCATACAGAAAGAACCCCTGACAATGGCAGGCACTAGAGAAGGTGGGCAGCAAAAAAGAGATGTATTTTAATACTGCAGCAATGTATTTTGTCTGCCACCTTCTCTAGCTGGTCTGAATAAAAGTGTTACGGCAGTTATAGAACACAGAGAACAGACTTGGCTAAAGGGAGCTGTTGTCTGGGTTCAGGGCATAAAGGACAGAAGTGCGAAATCTGTCACTCTGAAAGTTTTTGCTTTGTTCTAATGTGCTTTGATCTGGTGCCGTTTGCATCCCAACCACCAATTTTTTAAAAAAATCTTTAAAGTCTTTTAAGGATCTTCAATGCTTTCACAATAATCTCTCTCTCTCCCCCCCCCACTCCAACTCTTCATCCAAAACAATAAATAGGTCCTGTGTACTGCCTGTCAGGATACACAGCTGAGATGCTGTCCTTCAGTACTTAACCATCATCTTCACACTAAGGAGAAACTGAGCAGGTGAGTTGAGGACAGGGCTTTATAGGTGATAGCGATCCATGATTGATCCTTCAGGTTGGCTGACGGAATACTGAGACAAACTAGTGTTGCAGCTTGGGTGGCGCCACTGAAGCACCGGACTCTTGTCTATTTGCTTCTCCATATTATATTGGGTGGCTAGCGATATAGCCCCAGGTGACCAAGTGGTACGGGCAGCTGTGCTCCCCAATGTGCCTGCACACATGGCAGAGTTCCTGCATTTCTTCAACAGCAGCCTTAAGGGCATGAGGCATTTGGCTTTAGTTGAAGCAGTTCCCCTCAACATGTATAGGGGAATGAGGCAGTAAGAGAATATAGAGGTGGTAGAGAGGACTGTACCACTTCAGGCTGCAGGTGGAGGGGCCATACATTTCAATGCTCTCCTGTATTTCAAAAACAAATACCCCCACCACAAAAAGAACCAGCTCAGCAGGCCGAAGCTTGCTATTAGAATGCTATTAGATTTGCTAATGTCCTGTCTGTGGAAATTTTCTTTTTTTAAAAAAAAAAATGTAAGCAGAATGACATTTTAAAAAAAATATTCCTTGCATTTGCTGTCTAATGTTCCATGGTGCACCCACTCTTTCACTTCTTGTTGCTCACAGGTACTTCTCGGAGCTTGGAGAACGTACAAGCCATGCTGGCGGCTGAAATATATTCTGAAATGTGGTTCCCCACAAGAAATATTTCCAGATATCTTAGCTGAAAGGTTGGGGCTTCCCTTCCCTCCCAGTCCTAAAATTAGTCCCTTCCTGCTGCAGCTTCTCACAGTGGGGGAAATGGGCAAAGGGGGCAATCACACAAAGAGGAAAGGGCATGTTTCCCATTATGATGTTTTACCTCCAGGCACGCCATTCCTTCAGTGGACAATCACTCTTGCAAATGAAGCCCGAGTTTACCTCCCGCTGACCAATCAGGAAGCAAATGCCAGCTGATCTGCAACATGCAAAGAGGGAAGACGAGAATAGGACTGCAGAGGCTTGCAATCAAATGATGTACAAAGTGTAGCCTCTATTTTGCCCTCAGGCTTTGGGGAAGGCTGTGGACCACCTCCTCCAGCAACCTAGATAGATGATATTGACTTAAGGCTGTTGTCATGCAGTTTATTGCAATAGGAATCTGGCTTGTACCAGTGTCCCTGGTTCCCACCCCCCTTGCTTTGGAGACTTGGGTGGCCCAGCTCTCTCCAGCATAGGGGGGGAAAACCCTCCTTTCAGTTCCAGGCTGTAGCCTTTTACTCTTGTATCTTGTCTCCCAGGACAACGATCCGACATCCCACGCAGGGGTGCTTTCTACTCTGGGAAGAGACTCTTTGTCAGCATAATCGTCCCAGAATTCTCCCAGAGGACAAGAAATGTGCTTCACAAACTATTGATCGGAGGATAAATCGCTTACATTTCTCCTGAAGGCTTCGCTGCCTTCTTCTGAAGGCCTAACATAAACCATTCTGCCGGTTTGACATATTTTACAGCGAGTGAATGGGTAGCCTCATGCTTTATATATGCACACCCCCCTGTCCCAGAGATCATTAGTGTTAATTATTCTAGCATCCCCATACTCCATTATTTTCTGTTCTGAGGACTGCTTCTCCCTGTCCGGGTTTATTTCACCGCTTAGCTCGCCACCTGTGGGTAAGATCCTGTCTCAAAGCAGCTGCTGCCCTCCGGCATGTGAACACGGTCCCTTTCGGTCAAACCGCCAGACATAGCGGAGTTTGCCGTGACATCTTTTTCCCCCCAAGAGTAACGGTTTAAAATCCAGAAGGGACAGTTCCTTCTGAAAAGTTAGGCAGGATTGCAGGAGTGCCGGGCATAACAGAGCGCTTTCCAGATGGACCTCTGGAAAAATGTGAGCGACGCGGAATCCAGCTTTCTTTCTCCTACATATAACCACGTGCTTGAGCCACTGATTTTTTTTCAGGACAGTAGAATCCAGGTTGTTATGCAACCTGACAACCAGCTATAGCTCTTTCGTCCATGTTTTGAAAAGAAACTGGGTCTCAACCCCTCTTTGGCGGCCACTTCATATGTCATACATACTTCCTTTAAAACAAACAAGCAAGCAAACGGTTCGGAATTGGTCTTGAAATGCAATGGGTGAAGGCAACCCATTTGGTTCTTAGATGATGGAATCATGCGGCAGGCATGCTGTCGGCGTCTCTAGTCTGTCTGTCTTCCTTCCTTCATGTATGTGGTGAGACTGGATTAGGGGAAACACGGCTGACTTTGTACGTTCACCAGGGGCGCTGGTTCACAGTGATGGCCATGCCAATGTAGCGCCGGCACTCGGCTCCAACCGCTTTAATTCTTTTGTTAGCATGCTCATGCAGAAAACAGCCTGTTTCTCCCTCTTCTCAGCCATCTTTTGCTGCATTTCCAGAGCAATGTCTGCATTTTGAATATTGTGAACGTGGATAAATTCCGGTTTTAAAAAATGAACTAGAACAGGGGAACGTACTGATTCCAGAGCAATAAGTAAGTTCCACCCCCCTTGCCTTTGCATTTGGCGACTTGGGTTAATTTCGATCACAAGCAAATTGTAATGAACTTCTTACAAGCCTGTAACATGGGGGTGTGCCTTGCTTATTAATCCGTTCAGTCTGCTCTGTTTCACTTCCCCCAACATTCATTGCTTCTCTTCCTGACAGCAATCATACTAAATCTGCAAAACCTAAGATTTCCTCTGAACTAGCCAACTTCATGGGTCATGACCTTTTTCACACACACACACACAGGGTCTCACACCCTCAATAATGTAAACAGAGGGAATGAGAAAAAAATAGTTGGAACAGACCAGCAAGGTAATCAGAACATAGTGGAGTTGGTAATAGGTGAACAGATAACCTGAGTGTGTTTTCCCCTATTGACATCTCTAGATCTACACACAGAT